GGCTGCTCTGCGGCACCGCCACCTCTGGGCTTGGAGGTGCGCACGGCGGAGGGGGCCGAGCCTGCTCTTGCAGGATTTGATGTTTCCTTAAATTGTGTCAAATTCCCCCGCGGACACACAAGAGGGAGGATGAGGCCACCAGAAGAAAACCAGACTTGACCAATGTGTCATTTACAGAAGAAAAACGCTCATTTACACACCCGCACTGTAGCCCAAATGAAATCTGAGGTAGTGACATAAAAGAAAAACCAAAATTGTCCCATATCCTTCCTTCTGCAGTAGATAAATGGTGGTTAACAGCACTGCAGCATGGTCTGATTCTCCTATATTCTCTTCCTTCCCCTGGTATTTAACTTCCATTCACTTATTTACGAGAATGCATAGTAAATAAAACGACACCCATTTGCTCAGGTTTGTCATCAGTGGCATTCCCTGCCACATTTTACTGTTTTGTCCAAATTCAAGATGCGTTCATAAAGAAAATTAAGCAATTTTTTTTAAAAACAGAAAAAATCATAGTATGATTTGAGAAGAAACTTCTTCTCAGTGAGGGTGACAGAGCACTGGAACAGGCTGCCCAGAGAGGTTGTGGAGTCTCCTTCTCTGCAGACATTCAAAACCCGCCTGGACGCCTTCCTGTGCAACCTCCTCTGGGTGTTCCTGCTCCGGCAGGGGGATTGGACTGGATGAGCTTTTGAGGTCCCTTCCAATCCATAACGTTCTGTGATTCTGTGATTTAAGAAGGGTTATGTTTTTTGTTAAAACTGCAAGATAAGAAATATTACACTTTCAGCTACCAAAAAAAATAAAAATATCAAGAACTGCCCATGTCCTTTCTATTTTTAAACCCTTTACATTTAAATTTCTGAGTCTTAGCAGACAGAATCACTTTCAGTCCCCGTAAGCCTTGCATAAGGAACAGAGGGGAACCTCACGAGTCATAAAACTATTTTAATTAGACGCAACCACCTGAAGTAATTAAAAGAACAACGTACAACTAAAAGAAACTTAGGGTGCTTACAAACTCATTTTAAAATTTTCTTCAGTGAATACATCCCCCTTAAATTAGGCTCCCTGTGTGATTGTACACCATATTTTTAAGCAATTATTCTCTATCAGATTTAGGTTCCCTATTCTTACCTGATATAGATGCTTACAATTATCTTCACTGTTTTTGTTCCCTCTTTGTACCCATTTTGCTTTTTTTCTTCAAATAAACAATCAGAATTGTGCAGTAAAATGCAGGGAAAAATTCCTCCACATTTGTAGAAGTGTTAGTACTTCCCAGAAATGCTTTTCTTTATTTTGCTGATCTGGCCTTAAACACATGCATCTATTCATGAGTTTCGATCTGCTTTTGGATCATTATGCTCCAAATCACAGAATGGCTGTGGGCCTTCGGGGGGTCAAGCAGGGCCACCCAAAGTTGGTTGCCCAGGACCATGTTCAGGTCTCTTTTGAGTATCTCCAAAGATGGGAACTCCACCACCTCTCTGGGCAACTAATTCCAACCTGTCTCCTATGTTACCAGAAAGGCTCTGCGAGATATTATCTATCTAAAGAAAAACATACATTTGACAGCAGTAAAAAAGCAGTGGTTGTTTCATGTTTAGTCTCTAAATTAAGATTGGATTTAATTTCTAATTAAGGTTTACTCTGCTGTTTCATGGACTGAGCTGTAGCATTAGGGGACCGTTAGCAGCAGCCCTTTGCTGCTGCCTTTCCTCACACAGGAGGGTAACACCACAGTTACAAATACCACTGAATATATTACAGTCAGTGATGTCCACAGTTTCTAGCACTGTGTAACTCTGTAAAACAAGCAGAGATTTGTCTAGATTTGGATATAAAGTGGAAGAAACATCCATCTGTCTTCACCAAACCAGATAACAATGGCTGTCTGGCACTTTATACGTGGTATTTTGGATGCATAGTAAAGCTTTTTAACAAAAAGAATTTTACAGCTCAAGATACTGCTAAAGTTTTTATTGTAACAAAGTAGTATTTGCAAGGTAACAGCAAGTGGTTAAATTAACAGAAAAGTTCTTTTAAAAGTATGATATTGTCTATTTTAAGAACCAAAAGAGCACAGTAACTACCAGTCTGAGGAAAGATAAGGCATTTCATACTAAATTAGCTTTAGATATTTACATAAAATTAATGAAGATTGGTTTAAGGATCACTATCATAAAACATCTGATAAAGGACATTATAGTTTCTTACAAACTACTTGAAGAATTATCAAAAGTACAGACAAGGAAACAGCCTATTAAACCTTTTACATATATACATACAGAAAACATTTTCGTAAACATTCTTTCAGTTAGCCAAGAGATTTTTTTTTTAAATTCGTTTTTTTAGAAGAAAATAAACATCACAGACTGCTTAAACTTATGAACACTGGTCAAATCATAACTGACCTCATGCTATTAAAATTACTTGGGCATGAAAAAGCACCGCCAAGATCTCATTAACCACCACCTGTGCTAGAACTGAAGCTCTCAGAAGAACCTGGAACAAACCAGTACCCCATGTTTCACTCTCTGGATCAAAACGCTGGATGAATCCACTGCCAGCCCTCATTCTGGAGACAGCAGTGGAATGCAAACCAAAAAACAAATTCAGGACATGCAAAGTGCCAAGGTGCAACTCTCAAGCTTATATTCCAAGACTATGTTGCCGCTTATGCTTTTCCAGAAGTTTTTTGGAAGGCAGCATCACGTTACACCTTCCACACTTGAACATTTTTTTGTGGGTTTTCACATGCTTTTGGAAAGCATGTTTATCTAAAGTAGAAAATCTACACCTTCTGCAGCGCAGCTTTAAATGAGTCACAAAGTGGCGCTTCAGGTGGCTGGATGTGCGGAAAGCCACAGCGCACCGACTGCACTTGAAGGGCTTCTCCCCTGTGTGAATTCTCAGGTGTGACTTCAAGTTTCCACTGTGGGTTGTACAATAGCCACATACTTTACACGTGTATGTTTTGATAGGGAGCTGCTTTTGTTCGTAGAGACAGCCAGTAGACGAGCTTTCCCCACAAGAGTGTGAAGCCAGGTGTTGTTTCAAGGACAACCATTTGTTTGTTGAATAGTCACAGTTCCTGCACTTGAGATACCCCATATTAAAATGTGTGATTCTGTGTCTTCTCAGGTGACTGGAAGTACGAAACCTCTTCTGACAAACACTGCAGCTGTAAGGTTTCTCACCTGTGTGAGTCCTCACGTGTAGTTTAAGATTGCCTAAAATGTAGGTAGTGTACTCACACTCTGCACACTGGTAGAACCGTGGCTGACTTTGTGCTAGCAAATCATTTCCTTTGCGCCTCTGGACATCTGGCTGCACTCCACAGACTTCCGAACCAAGCAAGGAACCGATTCCGTTTGAACCTTCCGAGGAACAAAAATCTCTTTCCGGATACATGCCTACACGCATTTCACGGTGCAGTTCAAGATTCTCTAAACTGCTATCTACATAGAAGCAACGGCTAAACTCATATCTGTTCTTTATGTGAATAAGGCTGTGCTTCTGCAACTGGTTTGATGTTTTAAACGTCTTACTGCATTCTTTACACGCAAATGGTCTTTCATCCGTATGTAGTTTTAGATGCAGCTTAAAGTCGCTATGAACACCAGTAGCGTAACTGCAGTGTTGGCACTTGTATGTTTTGAATGGAGACAAATTGGAAGGCCATGTATCCTTCAACTTTTCCACGAATCTGTGATATGCATCATTATCTTGAGCTTGCGAGTGACGGGCCTTGGAGTTGAGGAGAGATTTGCAAATCCCAGTGTCCGTTTTGTATGAATCCAGAGGAACTTCTGATCTACTCCTAATAGCAGTCAAGCTGTTCCTTCCTTGGCTGTTTTCAGGGAATTTCTTTCCAGAGCACATTTTCTTATTGTCATGCACATTATCTGCCTGCTCAAAGTCTACTTCTGGAGCCAGCATGCCCCCACTGAAACAATCATTTTCTCTACCAGAATGAGACAGAGAAACAGAGTCCCGGAAACCATCATTACTTCTGTGTACTTTGGTTTTGCGATACTTATTGCTCCGATTCCTATAACCATTTGTAGTAGCCTTAAACTGTTCATGGAACTTCTTATGAATGCTGAGATGTCCTCTAGTGTAGAACACTATGTTACATTCATCACATGTGTAATTCTTTAACGGTCTTCCAGTTACCTTTCTTCCACTTATGATGTCGAGTTGCTGCCCTTGGCGTGTTTCTTTGCCTGCATGTCGTCTTCTGTGTCTCTTTAACTCAGTGGTGCTTGCGAATGCCAACTGACACAGCTCACAAGAATACGGTTTAGCCCCCGTGTGCACGTAGCTATGCCTTACCATGCTTGCAAAATATAAAGAAAAAAAGGTGCAAAACCTGCACTGGTACAGCTTATAGCCAGCGTGCCAGTACATGTGCTTTAACAGATAGGATAAACTAAAGCAGGAGTAATCGCATCGAGGACACTGGTACGGTGGTCTCCCTTTATGTCCCTTCATGTGCCGAATAAAATTCCTAGGACTTGATGAAGTAAATAAACAAATTTTGCAGAAAAAACTAACCGGCACACCCGGAGGTATAAAGTCCCTTTCAATTTTGACGAAAAATTTCTCATATTTACCTTCTTTTTTCTTGGTCTCAGATTTTCTTTCCTCAGATGTTCTCTGCCTAACTTTTCTCGCATTCATTCTATTTTTTCTTGCCTTTTGCAACCTGGTCATTTTTTTATGAAATTTAAGGTGATTCTTAAGGTTGACAGAAAAGAAAAAACTTCTTTTACAAAAGCAGCATTTATGTATTTTCTTATCTTTATGAGCGGAATAAACGTGTTTCTTTAGATGTGCATTGCATTTGTACACAGAACTACAAAACCTGCACTTCAAACTCAATCTTTCATGCTTAGGAAAAGGTTTCATGGTCACAATATTACTTAGCCATGCTGAACCTTCTTGCTGGCTTAGGAATTCCTCTGGGTCTGCATGAGGAGAAACAACTTTTTCTTTCCGGTATCTTTTCTTAGGAAATGGCTTTAATGTCTTATTAATATGGTCCCCAGTAGTACTTGATTCTGTAGAAGCGGAAGCATTTATCTCTGGTTTCCCTATGTTCTTTAGCAATTCTTCTGAAGGAGAACATCCATTAAGAAACGGAGCAGAACAGTTATAGGTAAATTCTGGTTCTTCTTTCAAGTCATGTTCCAAACCAGAACTTGGAGTTTCCTCTTCAAATCTGGTTCTCTTTCTCTTTCTGTTATTAGCTTCATTAGTTCCATTCTTTGAAGAATGAGCATCTACAGTGGGATAAAAAGGTTATGTGCGTGACATTTCATATAACCACAAATGTTCAACATTAATTGGTAGTAATAATCCCAAATTGTCTAGCAACTTGCTTGCTCTTCACTCCTTTTGCTTCATTCATATTTTCCTATCTCCACTTCAACATCTCTCTCCATGCCTCCCCCCCTCCCCAAACATTTAAATAATCCTTTAAGAGAAGAAATCCTAGTTAAGAGCCTCCTTGTTTCCACTTCCTCTTTTCACTCAAAGCTCTGAATTTCACAGGACAACACTGCATTCCCCTACAGTTTTTTACTGAAACAGCTTGATGTCAAAATTCCTATGGAGGTGCTGTCACCTAACTTTGCTACAGCTGCATCCTCACAAGTACAATGCTCCTTCTGATGGGAAGATTACTCATAGTACTTCCCTACGCCCTTCTTCCTTAAGGACTTCCATCTGCTAAAAGAAATGGTGAAGTTTAAACCTAAATTATGCTTCTCCCACTCTCTGCTTATATTGAGAGTTACTGCCTGTTGGTTTTCTCTCCCTAATATCTCTAATTGGCATTAAAAACCCATTTAACCTAAGTTTTTATTTTCAGATCCTTTTCCCTAAAGAAAAGCCACCTTCTTGCAAACTCCAGCAGAATGAAACAGTAGCGATTTATTGTAGTTTCACTATTTTTCACAGAAGTCCATGAAAGAACTAAGCATGCTCCAGCCAATACTGTCTTCCAGCTGCACACAATATTAATCTACATTGAAATGCTTACTCTAAAATAAACATGTCTGGCATTCTTCCATTACACTTTCCTAACCATTTAAAAAACTTGAGATTTACCAGTTTTTTTAAACTCTTGCACTAGTCTTATTAACAATGTACCTTTCATTCGAACAACGTCCTCCACCTCCTTGTGGATTTCTGGTTGTTCCCCTTGACTGCCACCAAACAGCAGGCTTGCAATGCTGACAAGTTCCTCTTCGTGTCTGGGTGTCGTCGCCCGGGCCAACTGTCTGCTTGGCTTAATGGTCTCATTGTGAGCAGAGGAAAGGAAAGGAGGAATCTTAAAGCCATCATCACCATCACCTTCTTTTCTGTCACTGGTTTCGTTCACCTCTGTAAGCACTGTTTTGCAAGATGATGTTGGGAACACATTATTTTGACTACATTTATCTGTGCCTGCAACACACCAATCACTTAAAGATGGTTCTGATCTGCCACAGACACTCTTAGCAAGGCATTCTTCATCACAGTAATCCCTACTGTCAATCGTATCTGAAGAAGTGTTATTTTCTTCGCAAATGCTTACACTGTTACTGTCATCTGAAGGTGTCACATTGGTTTTTAGGAGAGCGCTGCTGATTAAGTCAATCTCCTGCTCATTCTGTTCCTCCAACGCAGAAGCTGCTCCCTCCTCGGCGTCATCTTCGAGAAAATCGACGTCGCTCAGCTCCAAGATGGTAATGGGGAGCACAATTTCAAAGACATCCGAGACTGCGGGCAGTAAAAAGCAGCGTTAATGCCGTTTCCAAAATACCTGCAGCGACCGCCGAGCACCGACTCCACGCAGCGCAACTGCGCATGCGCACACCCAGACCGCTGCCGCGCCGGACGACCGCGCTAGCCCAGCCCCCATCCCGTTCCCTCACACCCCTCAGCCCCCTGCCCGCTCGGAGCTCCGCTGGGTCCCTACCAGGAAAACAGGCACCTACCGCAATCGTCCGCCGGCTCCAGCCGGTCCTGCGCCACCGACATCGCCGGTCCCGTCCCGGC